GAGAGAGTGAGAGGTTTTCAGAACAGGTACAGGCATGAATAAACACCTGAGAAAAGGGATATGCTCCGAATTTCGGGGATGGCACACGTGGGCACCGAAAACTGGACTCGTTGGACAAGGAGATTTGCCAACGACTCCACCGTATATTTTTATCCATTTTTTTTTGCGAATATGAATTTGTAATTTAAACGTGGGAAAAAAAGAAAAAAAGATTAGATAAGTATTGGCTAAAAATTGCTTAAGAATGACTTGGGTAGTAATTAAACAAAATTAGAAATCGCGGTGGCGTGAAGAAATAACACGGTAGGGATGGTGCAGGTTGGTTGTTGATGGTTATCTTACTTCTGCAATTAGGTCCCCGGTGACGAAGGCAACAAAGGAAGCCAATTGACACGAGGGTAATTTAAGCGTCGAGTCGGCGGTTTTGGCCTTGAGAAAACCAACGACAAAGTGTGTGCAGTAAAACTGAGATAATGAGGTCCGAAACGGACTTGCTTGGTAAATTGAGTGTAACGAACTATTGTACACAGATAAAAACTTATAATTTCAATATATCCATCTATACATTCAGCATATACACGATATAACGATTTTTTTGAAGTGAAGTCACTTGAAATAACCTTCAATTGAATAAATGAGTCGACGAAGGTAATGAATACAAAAAATGCTTACTAAATTGAGTCGTATTCATGTTTAGCAGTCGTTTAATCTGAAAGCTGTCAATCCGCAAAGACCTAATCCTATAATTAATTGCATGGCGATTTGTTTTCTTGCCGGTATAAATCTTCGGGACCTCCTCCGGATGGTTTATATTAAGAGGATGCAGTGGTGAATTATAACCAGGGCCGTGCTGTTTCAGTAAGCAAGCAAAACGCTGTTACGCGCCGCGTACCATATAATACGTGAAACACATTGCGCCATTCATCTACTTCTTCTTTCCCGTTGTACCCAGTCTGATTAATACTCAGCGCGCGTCTATCTTGTTCCTGATCCAATTAACCAGCCTCCGAAGAAGGACGTTCGACATTTTCATCTTTGTTTTACTTATTTTTTCGCTTTTACTCATTTCTTTTTCAATCTTGAAGCTCATTCAAACGTTTTTTGCTTTAAACGCGTTTTAGTTAACAAAGGGCTATTTAAATAAAGTTAAATAATTACGATTTTAGATTTTTTAAAATAAAAAAGTTTCCGGTTGCGAAACCCACAATCAAAATGTCGTACAACAAAAGTAACCCGCCGATTTAATCTAAGGATAAAAACGATCCACTCCGGAGTTAATGATGAAAAATGAATCCGAGGAGTTATTTATCTTCAGGACAATAGACTCTGTATTCAACTTGATTCAATCTCTTCTAAAGCTGTCGTCACCAAAGAAACATATTTTTTCCTTTATAAAATAAATTTTTCTTTTAAACTAAAATAATACAAAGATAAATGATTTTTTTATGGAAGTTATGAAGAATTGGCTACTGTAGAGAGGATTTGCTACCCCATAGAGGGGCGTGGAGTCGTATCCCGAATAACGTCTCATAAATATGCTTCGTGCGCGATAAATACAGAGTGGAAGAAAGAATTATGTGACGCCCGCGTCGGGAGAACGCGTCGTTCGTAATAAGCGGCCCCCGCTGTAAACCTACGAAGCCCTTTTTCCATCTTTTCTTTTGCGACCGCGACCAATATTTACGACTTCTACCTACCACTTGATTACAAGTGAACATATCATCCAACGGAAGGCCAAATTTCCATTATAACAACACTATTCCATCCATTTTATACTTATTTACAATTAAATTTAATTATTTAGATTATCAAATTTGACACCTTAATGTGTCAAATGTCAAAATTAAAAAAAAGAAATTTACAGTTTTTAGTTGAGATTTATATTAACAGCCACATAGTCTGATCATGAGCTCAATAACATAAAGCCTTAAGCCCATAAAGCACGTCATCAACAGCTACCACGATCAGAGAATTTTAGCGCGAAGAAAATGATTCAAATTGAAATTAATGCAACATTGGAAATTATTGGAGCAATATAATTGAAATAGCTTAAATCGGAAAAACTGCATCATTTCTGGTTGATAACGTTTGTTGCAGAAACTTAGCAAAATGATACAAGTGTTTACAGCCCTCAGAAACACTATATTTTTTCTGGGCTGGATTGAGTTGGGTTGGGTGCAAATTGTGTACGCATGCAGAACCTGCAAATATGCCATAATGATCAAGCAGAACGTCGAGCAACTAACGAGAGTGCAGAGAGGTATCCTGGAAGGGTGACTACTTACTTGGGGATATGCTACCAGTAGACCTACACATTAAGAAGAGGTTGGGTTGGGCAGCACGAAAGTGAGACCAAAGACTTAATTGAAAAAGTTTTATCCGTGTGGATGAGACGGGAGTGGAGCGAGCCGAAATATCACGTCAGCCAGTTTATGGGGGGACACGGATGCTTCAGAAGCTATCTGTTCATCTGTTCAGATATACTGCGATAAAGAGGACGACAACGTGTGTTCTACACACGTTGATCCAGTGTAGCAGGTGGAAAGACCTTCGAATAGAGATGGAGAATAAATTGGGAAGTTTAACTCTTGATAACTGTGTGGAGACGATGATAGTAAGCGAAGGGTGGCGGTGGAGAAATACATAAGAGATGTTGTCAGTGCAAAGGAGAAAGAGGAAAGAACAGATTAACTAATACGAAAACAGAAGCCGCCTGTGCGATGGAGAAAACTCGTAAAGGTAGTTCCTCACAGGAAAAAAGCAGAAAATTAGTCCCACACTCCCGGCCGAAGAAACATTATTTGCTTATTACAACAACTTCAAAACTCCAAGAGTAGGCCGTGGTGCATAACGCATTTTCTCCTCCCCAGTGCAAAGAAAAAGCGTTGGGTTGGATTGGCTAGGATTGGGTTGGGACGAAGACATCGTGAAGTGCCATCGTGCCAGTGGGGTTAACAACAAATATAGAGAAAACGAAAATAATGGTGTGGACTAAATCAGGCAGAGTCATGGACGGTGACACGGAACAGCTGGCGAGAGATTTTAAGCCCTGAAATAACATATGGCTGTGGGACTTGGATATTAATTCAATTCGATATTATGTAAGAAAATAAAAAATACATGAAAATTAATAATAATAAATAATAATAATTTATTGTCTCCAGATTACAATATTACAAAAAAGAACAACATTATCCATAACTAATCTAAATCCTACCCCTTTCCCCAGCTTCTCCCTGTTTCCCTACGTCTCCTTGCAGCCACCGCCTCCCCCATCTATCTCCTTACTTCCGTCCTCTCCCCCAACACCTGTCTCCAATCCATCATGTGATGGAGTGAGAAAATTAATAAATTACTAGCTAAAGAGTAAGAAATCATCATTCCCTTATTAGTCCTAGTGTTAGGATCCTCATCCTTAGGTTACCAAGGGTTTTCGCAATTATTTATCTCACTTAATCAGCCCTTTTCTTAATTTTATCATTACCATTGGAGAGCATCCTAGTTTCTTTTCGTCGTCTACTTAACGCTTTAGGGCTTGTTGATCTTCACCTATCCTTCAGACCACGTCTTTCTCGGGCGTCCCACTGATGGTCTTCCTCTTGGTTTATACTGCAGTGCCAATTTTGGTATTCTGTCATCATGCATTCTCTGCACATGGTCCATCCATTTCCCTTTGCATTCTTTGATTGTAGAGTTAACTGCAAAAATTTCCAGTTCCTCTCTAATATCTTCGTTTCTGATATGATCCAATCTATTGCAGCCCTTGGTCGCTTTTAGAAACTTCATTTTCGCGGACTATATCTTGCTTAGGTCCTTTTTCCTTGTCACCCAACCTTTGCTGCCATATGTACATCAGGGTCGGTATTTCCATTGTCTTATAAAAGTCATTTGAGTATCCTTCTTACATTTATTACCCAAAATAAGTTATTGATTTTGCTTAACTTCATCCCTCTCTTAACTTCATCATTACCTTCAGAGAGCATCCTAGTTTCTCTTATATTCAGAAATCAACTTCACTTTAATATTTTACGTGTTCAATCAGGAAATCATTATTGAATGCAATATCAGCTGTTAGTTTGACATTTAAACATGTCAAATGTCATATTAAAAAAATTTTTAATTTGAGGTTATGATTGTTGTTGGAATAGTTTTATTATAAAACTTTTATAGTATCTAAGCGAAGATAAATGATTGGTTTCGGGGTATGGCACTGGTTTAGTCTTGGTTCGCCAAACACAAAGAACACTTTATTGCATTTTTCACGGACTACTGCAGTTCACCATTAAATAATTTGTTGCCACCGAGCGGTTCTCTTTACTTTTTTGCTCTTTTCCTCTCCCTCTGTGTTCATCTGAAACCGGTAGCGCTCCTCCCGAAACAATAACCGGCTCGTATAAACGAAAAAAAATTGTATACTTCGAAGAACACGGAAATTTTTTTAAATAAACTAACGCCATCTTTTAGAAACCCCAAAATTCAATAACCCGATTTAAATTAAATTTAAATAAGCGCCACCTGTTGGTTATTGGATAAACTAAAAGTTTTGAACGATTTATTTTTTTTGTGTTTGTTACGATAAGTCGGTAACTTTCATGCGATTTTAATGAGAAAACTATAAAAATTAACGTTGCGAAAACGTTTTAGAAACGTTATAAATTAACAACGCGATTTAAATTAAATTTAAATAAGCGCCACCTGTTGTTTGTCGGATAAACTAAAAGTGACGCCAGCGCCATTTTGTTTGTGAACCTACCGTTTTTCGGTTCGCTTTGTTTTGAACGAGTTTTTTGTGTTTGTTATGATAATTCGGTAACTTTCACTCGATTTTAATGAGAAAACTATGAAAATTAACGTTGCGAAAACGTTTAAATCCGCAAAAAAAATGCTCGGAAACGTTAAGAAAAGTAAGTCTTTTGTTTTTTTGTTAAATAACAAACAATCTTTTCAAACTTCACCTTCAAATTTCCTAATTTCCAGCGAAATATCAAAGAAACCCCCAAATATCTACCGAAAAATCGCCGAAGCACCATCACCCCTAACAAGAAACACCGTTTTTCTTCAAAATAATAATATATTTGAATAAAAAGTAAGTATTGTATATCACAACTTTTTTTAAGCTTTAAATAGTTTTAGTTTGTATCTAAAGGAACCACCGTGGGGGTGTTATTTTGAGGAAAATCAACATATCTCCGCCTCATTGAAGATGTTAATACACATTTACATTCTTGATCATCAAATGTAGTTCCGGTGGTGCAAATCGTTGAATTTCTACATTGGCATTCACAAGATTCTGAGTCCCATAATTTCTTATATTCTTTTGCACACTTTTTCTGCTCATCCAAGTTACGGCAAACACATCTGCATTCATTTTCACGATATTCTTGTCGTAATGTGCAATGCTATAAAAATTTTATTGAATTTTTTTTTTTAATTTTTTGTGTTTTATTATTTACCTCCGCTTTAACTTTACATCCACATGCACATTTTTTATGCCGCTCTAATGTTACAGCTATTTTTTCTACAAATCGTAGTTTAGCACCTCCAGAGAATTCCGTTTTGATAACCTATAAAAATGAAATGATTTAGATTGAAAACTGTTGAATGATTTGTATAATTCAAGAATCATCATGTGGCTTAAGCATCGACAATTTTTTTCGACAACAAATAAAAAAAAAGTGCGAAAAAATCTAAAACTTCCAGAAAAAATCCTTTATAGTTTCGACGTAACCTCACTTTTTGTGACGTCATCGATCATGCTAACCATATATTTGGTTAAAACCTATATTTTCGGTTGAAATACGGTTGCTTCTTAAGTTTTCGACGCACAACGATTAAAAGGTCGTTTATTACCATCTATAAACTAAAGTAGGGATGCAATATTGCTCATAAAAACATCGATGTTTTCCAAAAGTGAAACATCGACGTTTTATACGAGTGGTGTCCACTAATTTTTGATCAAGATCGACTTTTTATATAAATGTCCTATAAACATCCTTTTTTTTTGCTCTAAGGCCCAGATATAGATATTTCAGATTTATGATTTTCTTGGCGAACGACGTTATGGCCACCACTGATTTAGAGCTTATAAATAAAAAAGTAGTAATAATTGAGTTCAATCTTGTTATGGATCTAGTCTCTATCGCCCATTACCAAGGTTTTATGTATAAAAAGTTTTTCTCCATCGCTTTTAGTTTCTAAATTAAGATTGAGTTAATTTTCGAAAATCAACAATTTTGATGTTTAATCGATTTAGAGCTTATAAATAAAAAATTGTAATAATTAGGTTCAATCTTTTTATGGATCTAGTCTTTATGGTCCATTACTAAGGTTTTATGTATAAAAAGTATTTCCCCATCGCTTTTAGTTTTTGAGTTATGATTGAGTTAATTTTCGAAAATCAACAATGTTGATGTTTAGTCGATTTAAAGCTACTAAATAAAGAACGGTTATAATTGGGTTCAATCTTTTTCTAGATCTAGTCCTTATGGTCCATTACTAAGGTTTTATATATAAAAAGTATTTCTCCATTGCTTTTAATTTTTGAGTTATGATTGAGTTAATTTTCGAAAATCAACAATTTTGACGTTTAATCGATTTAGAGCAGTGGTGTTAGTGGACACCACTGCTCTAAATAATACTCTATATAATAAACATTAGACCTAGAACTAGAATCATTCGGGTTTAGCCATCTTTAGAGACGTGCGGCTAAACCTGAATGTTTGTAATTCTAGGTCTAATGTTAGTTCTAGTGGCAGTGGTAGGTAGCGCTAGTTAGGATAAGATATCACTATGTTGCTTATTTTTATTGCACTAAAACTAGAACTAACACTAGACCTAGAAATAAAAAGTATCGATGTTTCTAATTCTAGGTCTAGTGTTAAGTCTAGTTTTACTATCACTAGAACTAACACAAGACCTAGAACTAGAATCATTCGGGCTTAGCCGTCTTGAGAGACGTGCGGCTAAATCCGAATGTTTCTAGTTCTCGGTCTAGTGTTAGTTCTGATATTGCACTAGCACTCCGACTAGAACTAACCCAAGACCTAGAACTAGAATCATTCGGGTTTAGCCGTCTTTAGAGACATGCGGCTAAACCCGAATGTTTCTAGTTCTAGGTCTAATGTTACTTCTAATGACAGTGGTACGTAGTGCTACTTGCTATAAGATATCACTATATTGCATATTTTTATTGAACGAAAAGTAGAACCAACTCCACATCTAGAACTAGGAGGTTTCGGGTTGGGTTGGGTTTCTAGTTTTCGGTCTAGTGTTAGTGCTAGTAATAACACAGAGTCTATTGACACACAGTCTATCTAACGACAGGTAATCGGTCGTTAGGCATCGAAAGCCTAAGAAATATAAGGGTATTTCACTAGATGATTCTTAAATTTTTCCAATGATTTATTACTTACTTGAAAGTTAACATTTTCGATTTCCATAGGTTGACATTCCAATTTGTTATGATTACAACATCCCCCACATCGCTCGATTCTCGTACAACTTGGTAAATACATAATCGTAGGGTTTGGTGATTGCCTCAATGAAACTGTTTGTAATTCGGGGATGCATTGAGCTGGTTTTGGTATTTGCACATTCGCTCTTTCTTCGGATTCGCCAAATCTGTCTAATTAAATAAAATTTATGCAGTCGGAAACTTTTCCGATGATATTAAAATTTTATTTCATAAATTATTTATAGATAAAAATGGAATCATTTACAAAGGAAGATCAAGAAATCGCACAAAAATTAATGGATTTCTACACCGATTTAGTAGAAAACCACGTCGATTTTCTATCATACTCGTTATCGGATCGAGTGATTTTAGATTGGTTCGGAAAAACGATTAAAGGCGAACGAAATATAGCCCTCCACTTAAAAGACAACACAAAATTCGTACACTTGCTTGAAAATTTACAACCAGTATTCAAAATCGGTCATCGAGACACTCACATTGTCGATGTTTCAAAAAAGCAAAAATCGTTAACTTTAAATGACTCATCCTCGTTAGTTAACTCCGACGAGAAAACTCCGCCAAAAACTGATGCTGGTTCTAGTCATATTTTCGAACAAGGACAAGGTGATGGTTTACACAATTGCGAATTGCCGGTTTCTCCGATAAAGAAATTTAAAAAATCGAATAGTGTGGAGGAAGTTGTTAAAATCGAAGATGAAGATGATATGATAAATTGCGAGGAGTGTGCCCCGATCAGATTTGTTCAAGCCGATGGGTTTATTGAATTTCGTAAAAAAAGTGCGAAAAAATTGCAAAGAGAAACCAAGTGGAAACGACCCTGCAAATTGGAAATAGCTTACTCGGTTGTTGGAGATAAAGACTTTACAATTCATTTGATTATTTATAGTAATGAAATGAAATGCAAAAGAAATTTGTTAAAAGATTTTGAAAGTATCGAAGACGAGTGATTTTTTTTGTTTGTTGTTGTAATTGGTGTTGTTTAGTAAGTTTATTTATTTATGAGCTTGTAGTGCAATGTTTTTGTTTGTACTTTTTGATGTAGATTAATTAATTGTATAAGTGTACATATTTAAACGTACCTGGTTTAGTGCAAATTTCATTTTTATATGAACCGAACGAACTTAGATTCAATCAAATTGAATTATTTTTTTAGAAATAAGGTTTGTATCCCCATTTAATTAATTAACTTAGTTAAACGAAATATGCACAAAAAGGCGAGCATATATTAATTTGCTACGATTGATTTAGCAAGATATCATTTCATGTAATATAACCCCTTCATTTACTTGCCTCTTCAATTATTCTTGTGATAAGAAATTCTTTTGTGCCAAACGTGTAAAAAATAAATTAAATTGCGAAAGCGATTGTTGCTTTAAGCTTTACATTTTTTGTACATACTCAGTGTTTAGAGTATAAATTAGTATTTACGAAATTGTATTTTTTTAATAATAAAAAGTTATATTTTTTAATCTATTGTTTATATAAGAACCCTTTATTTCTAAATGAATATAGCCTATAATTAACAATGTATTCAGTAATTTATCAATTACCGAAGTTAAATGGAATAAACAATCACTATACTCTGTTTTTAAGCCAGGAGGAGTAAACGCGAAAGTCAGATTTACACTAGGAAAAATCACCAGAAAATATCACTAGATATTTTGGCGGTAAATTTAAATTAATAATTATTATTTATTTATTTACTTATTATTGTATTTATTTTCGTTTGTTATCGTCAACACTATACATACAAATTAACATTGAAGTTATGAGTGTATTTATTTCAAAATATAATAAAAAAGGGTTTAAGAACACAAAATATACAATAATGACACGAAACTGTCGAATT